GCATGCAAGTTAAAGCTGGCAGACACTGAAGGTATTTGATGAATGTCATGGTTAGTTGCTGAGCTAAATCCCTCTGAAGTCAAACAGTGTTAAGTACCAAACATAACAGGATCATTTCTGAAAAAGTTTTAATCACTGATTTTATCCAAAAGAACTTCAAATAGTTGGATCGAAAGATGTTTAGAAATGACAACCATTTTAATTGTTATCTTGTGATGGTTTTGAGATAAACTAAGTTCAATAGCAGAATACAAAGGTGTAAAATTTCAAAGCTAAAAGTCAACACAATTTTCCTTCTGTGCAATAGCACTTAAATCTATACATACTCGTCATTGGTCTCTAACTAATATGAAAATTAACATGCATATTTCTGTTATAGTATGAAAAATAGAAAACTACTTTCATTCACCATTTGGGTAATTCTAAGTAATAACTTTTAGTATTTCATTACCTTAAGTGGGAAAATACCTATGCAGATGGTTACAGCATATTGGAGGCATGCCAGTAGGCCAACTGTGACCACCAGAACCTCATAAAATAGATGCAGGAGGATTGAGGATCAACAGAAGAGATGGGATCCTATGACCTGAGGCTGCTGTCTCTGGAGATGGAGGGAAGTGTGTAAGAGAAAGGAAAAAGATAGATTTCACTCACTAATAAAGGTAAAACCTAGAGTCTCCATTATAAACAATGCTCAAGAAATGCAGCCCTACAAACACCCTGGTATTAGGACCTCTCATCTCAGAACTGTAATATAATGTATCTGTAGTTGTTAAGCTACAAGGTGCTACAGTAGTAAATCATGGCATCAACAACTGGAAGCAAATACAGATGTCTTCAGAAAGTTGGACTTTTTGGTAGTCTTCAGATTGATTAGAGGGAGACAATGAATAAAGGAAGCATGAGGAACATACACAATAAAAACTAATATTAATAAAACTTTTTGGACCAGTGAGATGGGTCTGTAAGTAAAGGTCCTTGTCAATAAGCCTGATTATCTGAATTATATTCCCAAACCCTAGAAGGGAGAAGGAGAGAACTAACTCTCAAAAGTTTCCCTCTGACCTCCATGCCACCAAACACAATGAATGAATGTAATAATTTAATCAATAACTTTCTTACTTGAAAGTTTTTTTCGTTTGTTTTGTTTTGTCTGTTTGTTTGTTTAAGTATGTCTCTTAACACCCTGGCTGGTGATAGTTCAGAATAACAGGAAAACAGTGCAGATGATGTTGGTCATCTTGGAGACTTACTTAAATCATCATAATGAATTCTGTTAGAAATATGATTATAAAGAACACATTGGCAAGGGTCTCAGAAAAAATAAGAGGCATGGTATTGGAAAGAAGAGGAAAAGTTTGTAGGAGAGTTGCAGAAATTAGAGCTGAATTGATCCCTTCAATTATGTAGAAACTAGAACCGTGATGAGCATAGATATTTAACTGAAGATATTTCTAAGCAAAGACATGAAAGAGTGTTGTAGTAATATTTTGTTTATGCTATAACAAATAAATCTTACTTGAAGATCAGAGTACAGAGTTAGCCACACTAGTCAGCAATCGATGAGAGGCAGTGGTGGCACACATCTTTAATCCTAGCACTCAGAAGACAGAGGTAGATGGATCTCTGTGAGTTCAAGACCACCCTGGGTTACACAAGATTGAATCAGTCTAAAAGGAAACAGAGCCAAGGGGTGGTGTGATGTGTGATTGCTTTCTATATGCTATGAATATGTTTTATTACCACTGGCTAATAAAGAAGTTACTTTGGCCTATCGCAGGGTAGAATAGAGCTAGGCAAGAAAACTAAACTGAATGCAGGGAGAAGGAAGGCAGAGTCAGGCAGACACCATGTAACTTCCAAATGAGAAAGATGCAGGAACCTTATCAGTAAGCCACAGCCTCATGGTGATACATAGATTAATAGAAATGGGTTAATTTAAAATGTTAGAGCTAGCTAGCAATATGCCTAAATTATTGACTAGTGTTGTTATTAATATAATTTCTCTGTGATTATTTGGGTCTGGGTGGCCTGGAAATAAAAGAGCAGTCATTTTTTACAGTGGTGGCTCATACCTTTCAGCGCTAGGGAGAAGGAGATGGGAAGTGATATGGCTGCATGAAGAAAGGAATATAACAGCAGAGAGAGAGGATCTCAGAAATCAGTCTGAGGTTTCATAAAGACAGTATTTGGTTTGAAGACTTGTAGAGACAGGATCTTGACCTCTTGGTTCTGAATATTTTGTAAAGGTAAGAACTAGAGGCTAGCTTCTCTGTTTTTTCTGATCTTCAGACAAGCTTAATTTGTTACAGTACAAACAAAATATCATCACAGAGTAGCTTCATTTCTCCTGGCTAGTTATTAAAAACATGCAAGATAAAAGAGGTAAGCAGAAGGAAGAATTATTATAGTTAAAAAAAGAAATGGAAATTGGTAATTTGGAAAGTTCTCAGCCTTCAAATTTTACAAAATATGCTCAAATTAAAATAGTTGCTTTCAGGAAAGCATGCTGGGAGATGTTCAATCATAGTGTGTCTCTTTAAAATCCTGGTCACTCTTAGAGGTCACTCTACGAGATGTCACAGCCTGAAGAAATCAGATGATGCCCACTTGGCTCCTATCCCCCGGCTGACAGCTAGATTAACAAGCTGTTCTGTTCTGTGGTTTCTGCTCCAACTTTGTGGTTCTAACTGATGCCTCGGTCTTTCATGCTTTGCTACATAGGCTATCCCAGACTAAATCACATGATGAAGAGCATCCCAGCAGTCCAAAAAACTTACAGATATCAGACAGATACTTTGGTGGAGCGTTTGCTTACCTTCTAGCCTTCCTTATTTGTTATTCTTTTTTAACTACTCTGGGAGACCTGGAACTCATTATGTACATCCGGCTTGTCTCTGTCTTCTGAGTTCAGGAATTCAAGGTACGAGCAACCTCTTACTGAAGACCCTCTTGAGGTGTTAAAGGTAAGCCTCTATTCCACTTTTAAGGCCCTTTTAAGTGGCTTTTAATGCATTATTGTTTCTTTCTAGCACTTTCTTTCTCAACTCAAGGCTCAAATAGAGGTATAAGGGCTTGTCTCCTAATAAACCTCATTCTTCAAGGGTTATTATATATCAGTTCCATTCTCAAACCATAAGGATTTTCATTTAATAAGAGCCAGTCCATTATATGACCTGAAGGACTTTTGCTAGTCTCTTATATCAATACATACTATAGAGTATTTAGTCAGTACATGGTGCTGTGAAGAACCTAGTTGTGTGACCTGGGGTTCTCTTGACCCCTCACTGTAACAGAGACAATGCCTGCACATGGGGATATCAAAGAAAGATGTACTAGAGGTGACTGTTCAACAGAATGAATAATCACAGGTACAAATGGGAAACTAAGAGATTCTTGAAATGTTCAAAAACTTGGACATAAAAGGGCAGACCTCAGTGGAATTACTGTACCCCTCAAATTTGACAAGCAGAAACTATGAAACTATGGTCCATATGTACAGAAGTGATATGGCAAGTGTTCCATAAACAAGAAATGATTCAAAGGGCAGATTATCAAGCCCCGAGGGTTGCTACAGGACTTGGAATCTAGTGACATTTTCCCAGAAGAAGATCTACACCCGAGGTTAGCAAAGTTTATCCTCATACTTCCTCATTTCTGGACTTGGAATGTCTGTAACTAAGGTTGCTTGTTTCTCTTAACAATTCATTTCAGAAGACAGTGCCTTGCTCACTAGTGTAGAACAACTTTGCTTAGCTTATCCCTACAGGGCTCACATGAGATTGTAGACTTTAAAGGCAATGAAGTAAGTGAGATTTTGAAATTCAGTTGAAGCTATAATGTTTGAGACCTTCAGTAACTTGGAGACTCGATTAAAATATTTTGTACATGGGGAGGACGCAGAGGCTACCCATGTGACGGGGAATGATACACCCCAGTTCTCTCCAAACAGACACCATCTATTCATGGAAAGTCTAAATGTGTTACCTTAAATAGCAAAGGGACTTTAAAGATGCAATTAGGTTAATAATATGCATGTGCAGAGCATTTTCTGTTATATTTGAGTAGGTTCAACATAACAGAGCTAAGAGATTCCATCATATAAAGCATACATGAATAAAGTAGAAGCCAGGGAAAGAAAAGCAGATTCTATATTGCTGACCTCAGATATACTGAAAGAGGCCACAGAATGCAAGAAGCTTGGAGGAGCTAGGAAAAGCAAGGACATGATTTTCTTCTGAGGTATCCAATGAGAATGCAGCACTGCTGGTGCCTTGACATTAAAATTTCTGACCTCTAAAACCACCAAACAATAAATCTATGTTGCTTGAAGCCATTAACTTGATGGCAATTTGTTAGAGCATCCAGCACAAACCAATAAAAATAGCCCCGAGCTTCATGTGGCATAATGAATCTCCACAAACGCATCATAAAAAGTTCACATTTTCATATTGCAGGAGCTTAAGAGTTCAAATAGCAAAGGACATGATTCATGAGACACTCTACATTAATTCTCAGCACTTAAAATCCTCATGACATTCCGTGCTTTTGAAAGTCACCTCTTGGAGATGTATCAAACCCAAAATGGAACAACCTCCCATTCTACTAGGATGAAGATTGCCACAGTAAACTGTGAAAAGATATTAAATAAATATTCACTGCTAGCTGTCAACTGTTTTCCCTTATGCATCTGCACCTGAAAGTGAGTTAGGAATGGCCCATTTAGACAATGAATCCAGTCTTGAAAATGAGGGTTCTATTCACCAAGGACCCTCTCTTTAATTACCTCAACAACTTTATTTTTTTTAAAAAAAATAATATGTATAGTTGCTAAAAGCTACTTTAAATCATATAAGGCAATGAGACAGTCCTTAGCTGGGGAAATAATATTTACTCAGTAATCAGTATGATGGCATGATATATCCTCTTTAAAGACTTCCACAGTCTTCATAGGATCATGGAACTCACCATGGAAACATACATAGTAACAAATTCCTTACCTGTGTCACAAGTGGCTCCAATAGTCTTTCCACCGTGAGTGTCCGGATTTCCAAACTTTTTGGATCCCATTTTAAAATGATAGGTGAAGTTGCCGAAGTCATGCTCCCTGCAGAAACATATGGCATCCATTAGAAAGTGTGTTCAAGGATACATGGTATGACTATGGTGTTTAAAAGAGTACATCACCCAAATCTAGAAGATGTTTTAGGTTCAACTCTGAAAAATCAAATCAAGGGTTGGAAAACCAGAGCCAGTCTTGTGTTTTGAAATTCGTGAGATATTTTTGAAAAATTTCTAAGTATTCCAGTATATACTGGGACATTACAGGTGGGACCTGTAAGAACATAATGCTCAGATCAGACCACAATAAGTGCAGTAGATCTCCACTAACAGATACTGACAGGTAGCCTACTTGAGACATGTCTATGAGTCTCTAACTAAAACGCTCCCAGGTATTGAATATCTTATCTGGTGTTCTGGTTTACTTTCTATTGCTATGACTACACACTATGACCAAAGAAAAGTTGGGCAAGAAAACATTTATTTCATCTTACATGGTATAGTTCACTATCAAGGGAAGAAGTCAAGAAAGCAGTGCAAGGTGGGGCTTTGGAAGAGAAACCACAGAATATTGCTCTCTGGCTTCCTCCTGGTTCATTTTATCACTAGTTTTCTTACATAGCTGAGAATCACCTACCTGTGGACAGCAATACCAACAGTGGGCTAGACTACATCGCATCAATTAAAAATCAGAAAAATGCCCAAGAGATATGACCAGGGATCTATCTGATAGGGGCAAGTTTGCAATTCAGATTTCTTCTTCCAGATGTATAAAGGTGACAAACAAGGGTAACTACCAGACCCAAGGAAGTGAGAAGACATCACAGGGAATATCCTACTTATACCCCCTTCCCTGTTTGCTGCTTGGGAATCAAAGAGCCTGACTTCAGTTTCTTGTTATATAATAACCACATCTGTCTTTAGAGAACTATAAGTCAATGTTCATGCTTCTGCCTGACGGGTTATGATTCCCTTCTTCAAAGCCCCTACCATTTTGTTTGTTTCTAGTGCAGGACCTTCAACTCTCTTCAGAGCTTCTGCCATGTTATGGTCTGTGTCTGTCTTGACAGACTAGTAATAAACTAATAAACTCCTTAACCACAACAGTGTGTCTCATTGTCCCTCTTTAACCCACATCAAAGAATTTTCAGGACCCCGATACTACAGAACCATCCAATTAATTTAGTGTTTAGTATATCCTCAGCTGCTATCTGCAGACAAAGGCTTGGATCTTGACCTATTGAAACTTATGCTTTGAAACTAAAGTTAGCTAAGTCAGAGAATTATGACTTGGTGTGACAAATGTCAGAAGTACAAACAGAGCTGGGAGAATAGAGAAAGTGGCATAGCCAGAGCGGTGAGACACACAAAGACAAGCTGGAAATAAAAGTACATTCGTTGTGATCACCAGATACATGACCACAAGGCATTACAAAAGGCAAGTTGGCTGTTTTCTTCATAATCAAAACCTCAGGATATCATACACTTTGGAGCAATAGCTTCCATCACTTAAGTAAGAAGGATATCTTATAAATGCAGCAATTTCCATGGCTGAAAATTAGCAGTTACCTCCAGAATCAAGGTAATCAACATGATTTATACTTACCCTACAGAATCACTGTCTGCTAAATCTATTCACCTCTTTCAAAATCAACCCTCTCTCACCTAAGAACTACTGAGTCAGAAGTTGCCCCCCTCTTCAGTCTCCAATAGGTCACAACAAAATATGTTTCTGGCCTCAAAAAAGTAAATTATACATTCCATCTGGGGTGTGCTTCTCAGCAAGAAACTGCTGACAATATTCTGACATGTAAACACCAGACAGGCAACCTTAGAATGTAGAAGCTGAATCTTAATTATTTGCCTTAATAACACCATAAATCAAACTGTTCATGCCTGCATTCTTCTTTTGAATCAACATCAAAACTCAATTTTATGCTTATAAATCAATACAGATGATTATCCCTACTCAAATTAACAATCCAAAGGAGGTCTAGCACAATAGGCGCCATGATAAAGTACTTTTTCCGCAGTCCTCCCTGCTACATCCCACAGCTAGCTACTCATTCGGCAGAAAGATCCAACCAATTTGCTCAAGAAAATAAGAAAAGACACAGGCAACTGTGCTGGTATTTTATCTCTCTCCAAATGCCATGTTCTAAATAAACTGAGCACAGCGATCCAAGTACACAGATTTAGAATTGGGTTCCTTTACAACAACAATATTTGGCACTCACAGGCTGCTGGTGCTCAGAAGCATGCAGACACTTTACAGTTTCCCTATTCACACTAGCAACTGCCGCAGGCAGTGCTGACAGGCAGGGAATTCTGTGCCTGGCCATGGGACTTCTGCTGGAGAGGGACAAGGATGCCAGAAGCTTCCTGCATATGTTTTGATACCTTTTGGTTGCACTGATATTGTTACCAAACTTGGTGTCATAGCCTGTGCCACAAGAAGCCAAGTTCAGCCATCTGTCATCAAGAAGTCAATAAAACACACAACTTAATGTTATAAAGTGTGTGTCAGGGGGAGTGACTTGATCAAGGAAGCCATGTCAGAAAGATGGACAAAGAGAACTCAAGTCTGCCTTAGGATTTTAAGGATTCTGAAGTGTAAGTACATGGCCATGAAAAATCCACATCTTAGCAGTCTAGGTAAGGTGTGAGTGGTCTCATCCACTTTTGCCCATCATTATCTAAACTTCAGTCTCATTCTGTAACGTGGCAGGGAAATTTGTTAGAACTGTATGAAATTTCTTTCCAGGTCTCCAACTAGTGACTTTCCTTCTCCCATCATGAAACTCCTGGAGAAATTCCTGCTTCATTGGGGTTCATTGTCTCAACAGTCTGATAGTCAGATTTAGATTTAGAGACACAAGAGTTATCTTGGAGCAAGGGTGAATATGGGAGCAGGGAAGTATATATCTTAATTAAGGGAGCCATTTTAGGGTTGGCAAGAGACTTGACTCTAGAGGTTTACCCAGGTGTCCGTGGAGATGTCCCCAACTAGATCCTTCGACAGCTGAGGAGAGGGAGCCTGAAATGGCCCTATCTTATAGCCATATTGATGAATATCTTGCATATCACCATGGAACCTTCATGTGGCAATGGATGAAGCTAGAGACAGAGACCCACATTGGAGCACTGAATTGAGCTCCCACGGTCCAAATAAGGAGCAGAAGGAGGGAGGACATGAGCAAAAAAGTCAGGACTGCCAGGGGTGTGCCCACCCACTGAGACAGTGGGGCTGATCTAATGGGAGCTCACCAAAGCAAGCTGGAATGAGACTGATGGAGCATGTGATCAAACAGGACTCTCTGAAGGTGGTGGACAAGGAGGGCTGACTGAGAAGCCAAGGACAATGGCACTGGGTTTTGATTCTACTCCATGTACTAGCTTTGTGGGAGCCGATTCTATTTGGATGCTCACCTTCCTAGACCTGGATGGAGTGGGGAGGACCTTGGACTTCCCACAGGGCAGGGAACCCTGACTGCACTTTGGACTGGAGAAGAAGGGGGAGGGAGTGTGGGGAGGGAGAGGGAAATTGGAGGAGGGGAGGAGGTGGAAATTTTTAAGTAAAAATAAAATAAAAATAGAGGCAAAATTGAGACAATCCAGATTTAAAAAAAAAAAGAAAAATAAAGAGTTATCTTGGAATATCACTGTGATTCTAGCTCGGCAGTTAGCACAAAGTCCAGCACCTAGAGAACAGCCTGAGAGCTGTTTTATAAATTCTAACAGGACACTTAATGGCACAACAGTGATGAGAAAAAAGTCCTGTGAGAAATTTAGATGTGTAGTAATGAAGTCACTTGTATATGATGCTGAAGTAACCATGAAAGACTAAGGGAGTAAGAGCTCAACCAGTGTAGTGTTTACGATGAGGACCTAAGTTTGATGCCCAGAAGTCACCTAAAAGGTCAGATATGGTGACTTGAGTTTATTATCTTGGAAGAGCAGGGGTGGAGGTAGATAGATCCTAGGGAATTGCTAGTCAGACATTCCAGCTCTGTTGACCAACTCTCAGTAAAAGTAAGAGACGATGCCTCAAAAAACAAACAAGGTGTGTGGTGAGGTGGAGAGAAGGCTCAGAAATGAAGTGTTTACTGCTCTTGCAGAGGACCAGAATTCAGTTCCCAGCACCCACATCAGACATTTAATAATAGCCTGTAAGTCCAGTTCTAGGGAATCTGAGGCCCTCTAGCCTTTGCAGGCTCTTGCACATATACACTCATGCAGCTGCATATGCATAAGCATAAAAATAACATAAATCTTTTTAAATTAATAAGCATGTGTAGCACCTGAGATATATGCAAGCTAAAGCTGTTCTCTAGCCTCCACATGCATGTGTACACACAGATGAACATGTGTATGCACCCTCACATATGCACCCCTTGACCCACACAAACTAGATGGAAGATTTCCTTCCTAAGATGGGCATGCTAGTTACATAAGATGGCAGATCAAGGAAGGCACACAGAGTCCTTTATGAGTGTTCCAATATAGAACTTTATAAAGTAACACACAGGAAAAAAAAAACCTGGGGTGAGAACCACAAATGCTGGCACAGTCACCTCAGATACACTGATCTGGCTTCAAATAGAAAAGAGAAATACTCCTGCGCAGAGCTCTAAGCTATAGTAGAGCTAGTCACAGTCCAGTCCTGAAAGTAATAGGAATATTCTTATTTCACACTTAAAAGAAGAGTTGCTTGTCAGATCACTCAATGTATTCACTTAGGCATAAACCTCAATCATATCTTTACACCACAGGTCATAGTCAGTCACAAAAATGAGAAACGTTCACAAGATGATGAGTGCATTCAAAGGAAACTGTAATGATGCTTTTTCCAAACATTCTGTCATTGCTGGAGTGGTCAGCACTGAAGCTTGTCCCTGGTTGCCCTAACAAGTTGGGAGCAGTCACCTTTTTTCAGAAGGGAAATTAAAACACGGATTATACTGAATGCATAAGAGGGAGATGTACTTAATATGGTGAAACCAGGTTAAGGTAACAGAGAACACAATGGCCTCTACCTCAG